GCCGCGCCGCGAGGGGCTGGCGGTGGGGCTGGGGCACGAGAGAGCGCTGTCAGGGCCAGCGAGCGCCTGGCGCAGCGCGGCGCTGCTGCATGGGCTGCTGTCTGGAGCGCTGCTGCTGCCGTCATCCTCCAAGAAGGCAGCAGCATCGGGGGCGGCGGCGCCGCCAGCGCCAGGCGCGCTATCTGCAGAGCTTGCCTCGCTGCCGCCGGCGCTGAGGGTCATGGGTGCCAGACAGCCGCCCACGCCGGCGGTGCCGCCGCCACTTGGCGCGATGCCGATGGCGCGCAGGGCGGTCAAGACTCGCTCCACGGACGCGCCGCGACTGTGGTGCCGCAGCAGGCCGGACGGCACGCGGCCCGAAGCGGGCGACAGCGCGGGTGCCGGCGCCAAAGGCGCTGCAGCGGCCACCGTGACTGCTGTGGCGGCGGCGGCGGCGCCGCCGCCATCCTCGCTGCCGCGCCAGAGCACCGGCACGCGCGCGAGGGCACTGAACGGGCTCTGCCGCGCAGCCAGGGGGGACAGGCGGCGCGCGGATGCGGGGTTGGGCGCGGCGGGGCCGCTGATGCCGCCGGCGTCTTGCGCGGGGTCCGAGGCCGCCCTCAAGCCGCCGCCGCCGCCGCGGCTCGTGGGTGTTGGGGGCTGCTGCTTCTGGGGTGCTTGCTGCAGTGCCGCTGCAGTCGGCCCGCCCAGGCCGCTGGAAGGCGCCTCGACCTGCAGCTGCTGCTGCTGCTGCTGCTCCTGCTGCTGCTGCGACGGGGGCATTTCCGCCGCCGCCGCGGCCGTCGCTGCCCGGAGCTGCATCAGCTGCTGCGGCAGCGACGCCGCATTGGGCGCGCCCGCTGGGGCGCCTGCGCCTGACGCGCCAGACGGGGTCGCCTCCTGCCCCTGCGTGGAGCCCGCCGCGGCCGGCGCGACGGCGGTTGTCGCTGACTCAGCCTCCTGCAGGTCCTTCCACATCACCCTCAGGCTCGACGTACGCCGCGCGACGCCGCGCACAGCACAGGGGCTGCCACCCTGCGGCCATGCGGCGCCGATCAAGCCGCCCTCGGCGCTCCCTGCGGAGCCGCAAGCGTGCGCGCCCTCGCAGCCCTCGGCTCCGCCGCAGCGCTTCGGCTCGGTCAGCTGTTGGATCGACGGGCAGGCGGCGAGGGCGCCACCCGGCACCGGGGCGGCGCGCCCGTAGGCGCCGCTCCGCGGGGGAGAGCCCGCCAGCTGCGAGGAGAGGCAGCGCTTGAGCGCCGGCCGCAGCGCAACGGCGGCCTGGGACGGCGGCGGGGACGCGAGGACGTCGTTCGGCGCCGATGCTTGCGTCGGCATCGACGGCGGCGCGTGCTGCTGCTGCTGCCGCTGGTGCTCCTGCTGCTGCTGCTGCTGCGGCTGCTGTTGCGATAACGGTGGGTCCACTCCGGCGGTGGCAGCTGGGCTGTCGCGTGAAATCAGCAAGAGGAGGGGCGCCGCCCCCTGGGCCCCGCCGCCGGCGGCCTGCCCGGCCAATGCCTGCGGCGCCTGCCACGCGCCCGTGTGCGGCGGCTGCGGGGACAGCGGCCACGCGGCCGCGGAGGCGGCCGCCGTCTGCTGGGGAGACAGCGGCCACGCGGCGGCGGGCGCCGGCTGCGGCGACAGCGGCCAGGCGCGGGCGGCCGCCGGCGCCGTCTGCTGCGCCTGCAGCTGGTTCCGGCCAAAGTGGCCGCCCGCAGCGCCGGCCGTGGCGGCCGCGCCGGCGGCGGCGCGCTCGTGCGCCTGCTGCCGCAGCTGGCACCCTGCGCGCGCCAGGAGGGTGCCGCTGTGCAGGAGCGCCTCGCTGGCAGACCGCCGCATGTCGGCGCGCGGCGTGCCTGAGCAGCGGTTGGTGGCGGGCGTGGTTTAGGGGGGGATGGATGGCGAGACGGTGGGGCAAAGGAAATGGGTCGTGGCAAGGGTGCGTGTGCAGGGGAGCACAGCGATATTGACGCTGAGAGCGGGGTGAACGCCATCGTCCTGGCCAAAAGCTCAGGGCATGCAGCGGCGTGCCGCCAACGGCAGCAACGCAGGGCGGTGAGCGGCGGCCGGGCAAGCAGTGGGAGCGGCCGAGGCGGTGGTGGGGGTGACGTCATCGCCCTCACGCGCGTCGAGCTCCCGGTGCAGTCCAAAGTCCACGAGCAGGGCGCGGCCGTCATGGCCGCTGAGCATGATGTTCTCCAGCTTCAGGTCCCTGGGGGTCGGTTTGGGCCGGTTGGGGGTGGCCGTGATGGTCGGTTAATGGTGGCTGGGGGTGGCTGCATGAAC